GGCTGGGGGTGGCGCCGCCACCAAAGACAGAGGAGGGCAGGGGCGCGAAGCGCCAAAGAACGGACCGGGATACTGGGAATTAAGGGTTGGCAAACCGGGGTCGGATGGCACAGTTGGATGTAAAATAGGGGCGCTGGGACCAGGCAAACCAATCGGGGAGAAAGACGGGGGTTGTATTTTGTTAAGTGGCTTCCTAGAAACAGAGTTAGTCAAGGCAAGGATGTGGGACTTTGTGTGAAACGATGCCTGCTGACCTGAAACTTGCCAAAAGACATGAGGGCAAGCTGGGAGATGCAGGGAGGAACAACTTTTTGAGTATCAGCTACCTTTTCTGAGTTTGGCAAAGACGAAGGAGAGTGTGATTGGGGAATTCGAACATAAGGGGGTTCTCTCTTTGCTATTTAAACAATCTGTAATTTGGTTTTTGTCTTCTCAACAAATTGTGATACTGGTTGGATTGGAAGGACTTGGGACGGGCTACAGACACAATGAGTCTCTTAGAATGTATGGTCACATGTGTGAATGACGATGGTGTCCTGTTAAGAGAGGTTAGGGAACCTACGGGTAGAACGGCACGACAATGCTTTCCCCTAGGAGCCTAATCCGACGGAGTCCAGTCCTCAACGTCAATATGCATGAGACCTGCAGCTATGAGTGAACGACCGGGCGGGCTAGCATTGCTAAGGGCTGGGTGAATCCCACCGCGAGCTAGACGCTAAGTCGGATGTATGAGAAAGATAAAGAAAAGTGGAGCAAGAAAATGCATAGCACGCTAAAACTAATGGCCACCACCTACCACCCTCAACTGACAATCGGATCCGAGCCTCCCTCAGCCCACCACCTCGGGCGCTTGTATGGAAAAGGGAATGGAAATAGGAATGACCCTAACCAGGCTATTCAAGTATGAGTATGGAATGGAAATAGGAATGGCCCTAACCAGGCTGTTCAAAGCTCGAGATTGGGAAAGAAGAACGATCCTAACCAGGTTGTTCGGAATGGCCCCTGACAAGGGTCATTCTTTGGAATTGGCACTGGGGTCCCCTTGCATGACTGCTTGAAACGCATGATATTCAAAGATTTGAACCTTGGAAAAAGGACATTGGAAAGACTGAGCTTGGAAAAGAGATTGGACTCAGCCTTGAAAAGGATATTGGACTCAGCCTTGGAAAGGACACTGGACTCAGCCTTGGAAGAGATAATCGCATCAAGCATTGGACTGAGATTGAGCATCGGAATGAGATTGAGCATTGGAATTGGATTGAGTATTGGAAATTGCATTGCATAATTAGGGGACCTTAGGCGACTTTAAATGGACTTGGAAATGGCACTGAAATGGATTTCTCTTTTCTTCTAGTCTTTGGCCTCCGCGAGAGGGGGATACTGGTGCACGCACCGCGACCCCAAGACCTCTATCCCTTTGAGGGAAAAAGTCTCAGCGCGACCTGCTCCTCCTTTAAGAGGATGAGGGTTAAAGGACTAAGGCACCTACCACTTGGATCGGTGTGGGACGTCCGGAACTGACCCTGACAGTGAGCTCTAGTCGGGGAGTTCAAACTGCGCCTCCTGTTGAATGCCTAAACGTCAAAGGGCGAGAGAGCCAAATGGGCAAGGAAGCCATTCTCATCTAGTCTATTTTGTCCTTTCCAACCACACGCCATGTCATAGAGGGGTGCCATGGCCGTTTGGGTCGGACCTCGGCTGCCCGCACTAAGTTGGGTGGCACTGTCGGCTTGGCGGAGTACCGGGTGGAGTCCGCGGCCACCACGGGGCATTGACACTGCCCTGCCGGAGCATTACAACCGTTTCGGGACTAATTGCGAGGTCTTCGTAACTGCACTCGCGGACTAATTGAGAGCCCCAACTCTCTTGGATTGGATGAGGCCGGATTCGCAAAACATACCACTTTGGGAGGAATGATTCGTGAGGGAGCCACTCTCGGGCAGGATGGGGTCCTGGGAGATAGGGACTAGACCTGTCTCACGGCTGCGAGGAGGCACCTCAATGATGATGCCTATCTCCGAGTTGGTGGCCGCCGAACTAAGGTAGGGGATGAGGTGAGTTATCAACAAGGGAATAACTGATCACCCTTCCTCTTGCTGATGGGCCGGCATCCGCTTACTCAGTCGGCAGGCAAGGTCTGCGTGCCTCCAAGTGAGAACCTGTAACGTGATGGGGACATCGCGATTGAGTGGGGGGAAGATGTGCCATCTACCTAAGGACAAAGCGTGCAAAGAAGTAAAAGGCCCAGGAAAAGATGGCCAAGAAAATTGCATTGGACGTGGCTGAGCTGGGCCATAAAGGTGCCTGACCAGATGGATTGTGAGAATTGCATTGGACGTGGCTGAGCTGGGCCATAAAGGTGCCTGACCAGATGGATTGTGAGAATTGCATTGGACGTGGCTGAGCTGAGCCATAAAGGTGCCTGACCAGATGGATTGTGAGAATTGCATTGGACTTAGCTGAATTGGGCCATAAAGGTGCCTGGTCAGACGGATTGTGAGAATTGCAATGGACTTGGCTGAGTTGGGCCATAAAGGAGCCGGTTATATGGAGTGTGAAAATTGCCTTTGGTCGTGGTTGAGCCGGGTCACAAAAGAGCCGCCGAGGGGAAATAAAGAAAACAAAGAAAAAATGGAATGAAGAAAAAAGGGAAGGGAGGGGGGATTCTTGTCATTGAGTGGGGGGGAAGAAAAGGGCGGTCTTTCCAAAATCTACAAAGGATCAAAGAAAACGGGCAAAACGAAAGCACAAGGGAAGGGGGTAATGAATGGCAGAGCGATGAGGTGACTGGGGTGAGACGCGGGCAGGATTGGCAGGACCTAAGAAAAGGCCGAAAAAAAATGACCCAGGGGAAAGAAGGGAGCAGTGGGGAGTGGTGGAGAGATGGAATCGAGGTTATAATGCAGCTAAGGGGAGTTGTGCCTGTGTTCATCAATTCGAAGTGGGTATCACCACAGCAAAGGCGGCGGTTGTACAGGACGAACACCCCCCTTCCGGAGCAGATGCCTGACATCGAGTCACATCCAAAAACTTGCCTACAATTGTTATCAGCAAAACCAAGGCAGGAAAAACCAACCAGACTAGGGCAACGAATGGTTATCCCGGGGAGGAAGTCCGTCTGCTGGGAATTAAGAGCAGGAAGCAAGGGGAGCCTCGCCTGCCTCGTGTTACTGGAGTCAAAGGAACGCTGGGCTGCCTTGCTGGGTATACAGAGTTGACTGAGAAGGAAAC